ACCGAGTTCTCCTTGGGGGGAGGAGGGGGGAATAGGTGGAGGGAGCCTCCCCACCCCGTTCCATAGGGGAGGTGTGTCTTTGTCACTGTGTTAAGAGAGAGAGAGAGACTTGGGGACTCACGGAAGGAGACTGGGGGGGGCTCGCGGCCCCCCTTCCCGCTCTTTCGTTGCTCGGGAGTTGCCTCGAAATGGGGTGGGGGTGGGAAAGGGGGCTCTGCACCCGAAGGGTGTATTCCAGAAGGGAAGGGAAGCGGGGGGGGGCTCACGAGAAGCTCTTCTCCTGGGGAAGGAAGGATGCGGTGGGGATGAGAGGGAGAAAGCACACGCACACACACACTCTCCCCCCCCCAACCAGGCGGACCACGTGAGAGTTATGGGGAAGATCTGCCTGTAAAGGGAAGCTGAAACGTCTAGGCTCTTTCTTGCCTTTTGGGGAACTCTGGGCAAAAAAAAGTCCTGTCACACTCCCTCTTGGAGCCCTTCCTGCTTTTCACCCCCTCTTCCCTGGGGCATCTTTTGAAATGACTCCGCTTACCTGGTCCCTGGAACTGCTAAATTCCTGGTGGAGACTTTACCAGGATTTGCTCATTCTCCCACAACGGATAACCATTAGCAACTTGTGTCTCAGCAGAATATTGGGGAATGGTAGTGCTTTCAAGTTTTCGGGGTGTGCTTAATTCGTGCTCTCTGCTCCTAGTGCTTTAACAACATTGTGAATTTATGTCATTGTCATTCCCCATACTGAGGACAGTGAGGAAAGGGGCTTACTTAACTCGATTGCGTGTCTTCAGTACAGAGGGCTTCCTTCTTTTTAATTTCAAAAGCACCACAGCACAATTAATAAATATATCAGATAATTTTTATGCTGGTACAGATGGCATCAAGTGCCATTAGGGCATCAGGCCGTCTCTGGTACATGTCAAGGGGCAGAGGGTACATCCACACTTCTCTGCTTTCACAAAGAACTTTGTTGGTTTGAAAACCACATTGTCCTAGGTTCACCTTGGTTCTACCAACTCAAGACTGTGTCTCACATTAAGTGTCTTTTGAGTAACACAGTTCTTTGTGTGATCTGGACCTTGACTTTCATAGAATAATGGAGTTGGAAAGGCTGCCTGAGTCCAACCCCCTGCTCAATGCAGGAATCCAAATCAAACTATATCTGGCTGATGGGTGTCTCATTTTCCCTTGAATGCCTCCAGCATTGGAGCATTCACCACCTCCCAGGGTAACTGGTTCCATTGTTGTACAGCTCTAACATCAGTATAGCTGTGCTAAGTTTTTCTTGATATTCAACCAAAATCTGGCTCCCTGCAATTTGAGCCTATTATTACCTGCTCTCTGAGATGATGGAGAACAGATCCTGCCCCTCCTCTGTATGACTACCTTTCAATTATTTGAAAAGTGCTATCCTATCTCCCTCCAGTCCTCTTTTCTCAAGGGTAATCATGCCCAGTTCTTTCAGTCTTTCCTTCTAGGACTTGGTTTCCAGTCCCCTGATCATCCTTGTTGTCTTCCTCTGAACCTGTTCCAGTTTATCAGCATCCTTCTTGAAGTGTGGTGTCCAGAACTGGACACAGTACACTAGATGAGGCCTAGCCAGTGCCGAATAGAGGGGAACTAATGCTACATGGAATTCAGAGACTATATTTCTGTTAACGCAGCGCAAAATAGCATTTTGTCTTTTTTTTTTTTTTTTTTTGGCTGCCACATTACTCTGCTGGTCTATAACAATTCCAGAATCCTTCTCCATAGTATTACTGAGCCAAGGATCCCCCTCTTGTATCTGTGCATTTTCCCCCCAGGTGTAGAACTTTGCACTTATCCCTGTTAAATTTCATTCTGTTGTTTTCAGCCCAGTGTTCAAGCTTATCAAGATCTTTTTTAATTTTGTTTGTCTTTCAGGGTATTAGCTGTTCCACCCAATTTTGTGTCATCCACAAATTTGATAAGTGTTCTCTGCACCCCCTCATTCAAGTCATTAATAAAAATGCTGAATAGTAGTGGACCCAGGACTGAGTCTTGTGGTACCCCACCAGTTACCTCCTCCCATTTTGAAAAGCATATTAATAAGTACTCTCTAAGAAGGAGCTACTCATAAGCACTCTCTGGGTACAATTCTGTAACCAACTGTGTATCTACCTGACGTTTATTCTATCCAGCCCACGCCTGCTGGATAGCCCACATTCTGCTAATAAGAATATCATGGGGCATTTTGTCAAAGGATTTGCTGAAATCAGGATATGTTACATCTGCAGCATTCCTGCAATCTGCCAGGGAAGTTACCCAATCAAAAAAAAATTAGATCAGATTTGTTGTTGATAAATCCGTGTTGGCTTCTAGTTATTACTGCATTGTTTTCAAGGTGCTTGCAGAGTGACTACTTTATAATTGCTCGAGATTTTTCTCTCGGATTGATGTCAGGGTGACTGGTCTATAGTTCCAAGGTCCTCCTTTTAGCCCTTTTTTGAAGATGGGGACATTAGCCCCCTCTAGTCATCTGGCACTTTGCCCATCTTCCATAATTTTAAGAAAATAATAGACCGTGGTTCTCAGATCTCTTCAGCCGGTTCTTTCAGTGCTCTTGAATACAGTTTATTGGGCCCTGAAGTTTTGAACTCAGAGTAATAAAGTATTCCTTGACTGTTTGTTTATTAAGCTGCAGCCCTGCCCCTTCTGTTTGCATTTAACATTTGCCTGGAGGATCATGGACTGCCTTTTGGGAGAAAATTTGACCTAAAATAAAAATTGAACATTTCTGTCTTTTCCTCATCTGCTACTGTTTTTCCGTCCCTCTTCAGTAGCTGAGCTATTACCATTTTTTGTGTCTTTTGCTATATATGTATCTGTTGAATGCTTTTTTGTTGCTTTTAGCACCTCTTGGTAAGCTCAGGTCATTCTCTGCTTTTGCCTTCTAATGCCAGCCCTGCAGTTCTTTGCTGTCTATCTGTACTCTTCCTTTGTGGCCTGGCCTCCCTTCCACTTCCTATATGTGTCCTTTTTTGTTTTCATGTCCTGTCTGAGCTTTTTGTGAAATCACATTGGTCTTCTATTGTTTCTTCTATCTTTCATGTCCTGTCTGAGCTTTTTGTGAAACCACATTGGTCCTATTCTATTGTTTCTTCTATCTTTTTTTTCTTGTTGAAGTTACTTGTAGTTGTGTCTCTTACGAAACACCCAACCATCTTGGACTCCTTTTC